CAGCATAGCTGCGGATTTTCAAGGATAGTGGTTGTGATAAGAAACACAGAGGCCCTTAATCTCTAGGCTTTATTGAACATAGAATCTTTCAAAGTACTTCTGCAACAACAAAAGTAAAATACTATACATCTAAATAATGGCTTCTACAGATGGTATGTCTTGCATAGTCAATAGAAAAGTGATAACTACAATGCCACATATTGTAAAACCACCATGTAATCTGCATCGTTATAAATGATAAAGTAAGGTAAAGAAATCAACACACCATATGTTGTTGCCATGAACGCACCAGCCAAACTGTTGTTGTTGGTAAGGGCGCCCTAGAGGTGTAGCAGTATTCTCCTCTGCTGCTTACCCCACAGACCAGTATCACGACAGATACTTCCTGGTCAAAGAAGGATGACCAGGTCCCTACTAACGAACTCACGTGGAAATGCTTTGAGAAGATACCAGAGCACGTAACGGAACATCACCAGTGCTCGTTGTCAGAGAAATAATTGAAGTTAATGTTGCAGTTTTAGAGGTTGGTGTTGTGAGTCAGACCAGTTCAGCTCCTCCCCCCCTTCTCTCGCTGGGGAAGGGGGAGGCGTGGAAGTAAACAGTGACCCTCTTCTATACGCCTTTATCACTCCTGCCGCGTCTCCCCCGCCTCACCCTCCCAACCCCACGCCACCACCCCATCTTAGAGGTACTACTCTTCCCCCTACCCACATGTCAGCGGATGGCACTGCAACTGATTGCGGCCTCACAGAACTCCACTACAAGATAGCATCGTGGAGTACGACTGCGAGGCAGACTGTCAGTGTGCCACAGCAGTGTTATCAGTTCTCAAGCGTTCAACTCCGTGCACTACGAGCTGGGATCCTTCAATCAACGTGCGTCCTCCAGTGACGCTGACATGTCCCATAGGTCAGCTGCCCATCGGGCTGCTAACGAAGTCAACTACGCGTCTGCTTGGTCCTCTTGGAGGGTCCGATTGGGCTCGTGCAAGCAGGCAGATCGCCTGGGCAACTTCAGCTGTTTGCAATGGTCTTCTGCGAGGAGAGACAGGCAACCTAGCAACATCCGTTTTGTTGGGGCAATGGATGAATATCCCTATGTTTAACTGCATCATTACTTCCTGTAATTTGTTCTATGATTGCTAATCATGTCATAACGTTAATCATTCATTACCTTTGAAAACTTGTTCATGATTGTGACCAGCTCTGACCTGGAATCTCATTACTGTGAGTAAAATTTCTCATAATGTGGTGTATATTCATTACCTTCAATTACATGTGTGACCACTCTAACCTGAGCTCATTACCTTTGTAACTTGCTCAGCTATCAAACTTGGATCCAGTTCCCCTGGCGCCAATTATGTACCTCTGTAATCTTTTGACTACCCCCACAGGATGGGTATGCGGGTGCATAAAAACATATTAAACTAAACTCTGACCATGTACCTCCCTACGTATTGCAGATATATTGCCTCTTTACCGCTCTTTTTCTTGCTCTCATTCTGTCGCCTTGTAAATGAGCGCCTGCTCTATCTATTTTATATACACTCCTTATTTTCCTTAAAGGAATTAGCGTGCAGACTCGAGTGCCACGATTAATCTGTTACTATGCAAAATGGGATCTGTTGTTGCTTATCCAATCTTCCCAGACTTATATCGATATAGGGGAACTGGTTTACTTGGTCTCACCTTTATGTCTTGTTATTGAAGTTGAAATTTAGTGAAGTCTCCTCGTGACTAATCTCATCATGTCTTTGTCTGGGGCACTGCGATACATTCTGAACCTCGATTAATGTTGTGATCTTGAGTATATTTTTTCTGATATGATGACATACGTATCAGATTCATATGTTAGTGAAGATAGAGGCCAGTGTATTCTCCAATCTAGTAGGCTCTATATTTGCTGGTTTAAGTTGATTTTGTTTCTGAGATTTTAAAAGCGCGTGTTGTGTGAGTTCCGTCAAGCTGCCTCCAGGTGTTTATTACTGCAACAACTTATATTTGCTATATTTTCCCATTTTAGGTTCCTAAGTTGAAATCCCCCAGACAAGATTTGGGCAGAGCGGAAGATTTCAGACAGTGGGTCAATTATTAAAACAGCTTTCCGAATTCTGGGGCTGCATCCGGAGGCTTGTAGACACCGACAATGACTAGTTTTGATTTCGATCTTTACTGCTCAAATCTTCCACTACATCATTTGAGCATTAAGAGCATTTCTGTGCAAATAGGTGACTGTGACTGTGCGACGATATACGAGGTCAACTCCCCTCCTTTTGCCTGTTCACTGTGTCACATCTGTATAGTGTAACCTGAGATCCATATTTCAGGTTGTCCAAGTGATCCTTTATTGAGGTCTCTGTGAAAGCTGCGAACATGCAGTTTGCCTCTGCCAGCAGTCCACAAAAAAAGGTATTTTGTTATCGTTTTCTGGCTTAGACCCTATATATTGTAAAGAAGAATGTCATCGGACTGGTGTATGAGTGGTACTGGGTGGGGATGTTTTTCCAGCGACAGTATCTGTATTTTGGTTTGGAGTGAGGCCATCGACTACATATCCCACGCCACTTTTCATATCCCGTGGCCTGTGCGATAGCTCCCCTTGCACACATACATCGAGGGGGCCCAGGTTCGATTCCCGTGTGTGTAAACATTTCGACACGTTTCCTTACACCTGTTTTTCCTGTTCACCCAACACAAATAGTACCTGTGTTAGTCGACTGTGTGTCGCATCCTGGGGACAAGATTAAGAGATCCCATGGAAATAAAGTTAGAGAACAGTGCTTCGATGACGCTCTGATTTTTCTTGGGTTATCCTGGGATGCTAACCCTCCCTAGGTTAAAAATCCGAACGAAATCATAATCTTATCCTTCCTGGCAACTATAAATCCCGTCCCCTCTTGAGTGGCCCTGGCTACTCAGTTTCCCATTGACCTGACGTAGCTCTTGCGCTACCATACCTCAGGTATTGGATAATGGGTGGCACGATAATCTAGCCACTTCGGTGGCAAAATCTATCAAATCAAACCAAGATCTCTGTATAAGGTCATTGAGATCTGTTTGGTTTGGATAGTAAGGACTCCTCCCAACACCTGCATCTGTAATATGTTCACTGTGCTCTTTATTTTCTGATCTGCTGCTTTCTTCTGACTGTTGACTTGTTTCTGGAGTGTAGGACTACACCTCCAGAAAGGTGAGAAAGACGCTTCTTTGTACTCTGGTCTCATGATTGGAATAAATTAGTGGATATATAAGCACACAGTGGGCTTCCTATGTACTGTTGAACTTTCTACCAACATTGTGAATCAACACATAAACTAAAGCGAGTTTAGATTCCACTTCTTTCTCCACAGTGAATTAAAAGTCAGTGCCTGACCAGCTACGCTGTGGTTCATACGTCGGGTTGCGTGCGGCCAACAGTAACAGCATGGTTGATCAGGCCCTGATCCACCATGAGGCCTGGTCACAGACCGTGTGGAAAAATTTTCTCCAGGAGGGGGGTATCAGCCCCCTTCAGCCCCTTTCAGCCCTGAGGTGCCCAGCCCTCTCAGAAAGGGCAAGCATCTTGTTTATTGCGACAGCAAGTAATTGATCGCAGATGCAGTACCAGTATGCGACGTGTGGTCAAGCAACCGAAGCTCCTTGCAGTCCAGTGTTGCAAAGTGTATTTTAATAAAAGACAGTCCATCTCTTACCTTGGCAGGACAATTAAGGAAAATCCTTCTCCCACTTTATTGCCATGGTAAAGATAGTGTACATTGTTGTCTATGCTTAAGACAGCAAGAATCAAACAATCTGTTTGCTTCATGGGAGAAAGTGGCAAAGGAAGCAAAAGTACTAGGTCAGCTTTTCCTTTATGTGCTGGGGCAGTGACCGTTGTAGGAGGCTGTGGCGTCTTCAGATTACTTTTGACTCTACTGAGAGTCACACTGACACCAGGATAACCAACAAAGAACACTGATCCGTGGGTTAGTGCGAACAAAGTGTCTCATAAAACACAATAAAACACTTACAGAGAGAAGTGTGATCAGCTTCTTTAGTTATAGATTGTGGAACAATAAAGACAAATCTTGTGGAACATAGTGTACCAGTGTGCGTATTCCTAGACTATGGAAGACGTGGACATTCAAGGACACTTCAGCTTCTATCAAGTCACCAATACCTGTCGAAGGTGTGAAGAACACCATAGCTCACGTTACAAGAGCAAGATGGGTTACGAATTTCTTGTAGTATGGGGGGACTGCGCAATTCTTGTGTCGCAAGGTGTTTGTAATCAACCTATAGTTGGCAGTGAGGTGCGGACTTTTGACTCCACACAAGTATGTAAGTCAGCCATTAGTGAATGAAATATGCTAACATAACACCCCCTAGGGGTAATTTATTGTTTACATAATATAGACTTTTTCAGCCCGTTAAGAAGTGGTAGACAACAATTCTAGACCTCATCTGCAGGGGCGGCTGTGTAGACGATTTGCTGTCTTTTATCAGCTAAGTGTTCACTATTTTTAAACTATAAACTTAGCTGTTAACCATTCTCAACAGACCGGGCCGCGGGGGCGTTGACCCCGAAACCTGTCCAGGTTATAGTCTGTATACCTTGTACTTATACTTGCAGAAATAAAGATTATTATTATTATTATTATTATTATTATTATTTATTATTATTATTATTATTTATTATTATTATTATTATATTATTATTATTATTATTATTATATTATTATAAACTTAATATGAGTGTAAATAACTTTTGGCATAAGTAGTAGCCCTCCACCACTTATACAACACCCATCAGGCAACACAACCTTATAATTTACGTAATGTAATATTTTATGTTGGAAATACATATCTCCTAGGAGACTGTACTTAGCCACTATTTGTTTTAGTATACATTAATACATAAACAAATGTGGTTCATACACTGTTTTTGCTGTATTAAATAAACGTTTAGTTACTCGTAAGGTGCACTTGGTGCAGTGACCTGGCAACACTGTCTCAGCCACAACAACAACAATCTTCCTCAAAAATACAACAAATTTGATCAATTTTCCTCATTATATGAAGATTTTTTGTGAATTATCTTAAGAAGGTCATTGTGTAGGGTAAGTGGTAGTGCAGATATATTACTTTTTATTAATAAATTATGATAATGTGGTCAGTAACGGCGGAAATAATATTGTTCTCGCCATGTTGGTGCTAATATGACAATTTTATTTGGATTTTTAACCCTGGAGGGTCAGCCACCCAGAATAACCTGAGGAAGTGAGTGTGTTATCAAGGGTCTGTCTGGCTTATTTCCATTGTGGTCTTTAATCTTATTTCCCAGGATTATTATTATTATTATAATTAGGGGAAGCGCTAAACCGGAGGATTATACAGCGCCCGGGGGGGGGGGATGGAAGGCATTTAATTCGGGGAACTGGAGCACAGATCTAATTCCCTAAATCAAGAGCCCTCACCAACATCAAGGAACCTTCCTTGAGGGGCTTATTACCAGGAGCCCCTCAGGGTAGGTCCTTGATGCTGGTGAGGGGCTCTTGATCTTGGGAATTGGATCTGTGTTCCAGTTCCATGAATTGAGTCTGAATACCTTCCCCCCCCACAGGAGCTGTATAATCCCTACGGGTTTAGTGGTCCCCCATGATTATAATGTTTCCCAGGATGCCACCCACACCTGTATTATGTACCTGAATAATAACTTACCAGTCACCTAACACCCGGGTACCTACTTACTAGGTGGACAGGACAGTGTAAGTGCTTGTGTAAGTGTATTTTTGTAAGTGCTTATGTAAGTGTATTTTTGTAAGTGCTTGTGTAAGTGTATTTTTGTAAGTGCTTTTGTAAGTGTATTTTTGTAAGTGCTTGTGTAAGTGTATTTTTGTAAGTGCTTTTGTAAGTGTATTTTTGTAAGTGCTTTTGTAAGTGTATTTTGTAAGTGCTTGTGTAAGTGTATTTTTGTAAGTGCTTTTGTAAGTGTATTTTTGTAAGTGCTTTTGTAAGTGTATTTTTTGTAAGTGCTTGTGTAAGTGTATTTTTGTAAGTACTTATGTAAGTATTTTTGTAAGTGCTTGTGTAAGTGTATTTTTGTAAGTGCTTTTGTAAGTGTATTTTTGTAAGTGCTTTTTTAAGTATATTTTTGTAAGTGCTTGTGTAAGTGTATTTTTGTAAGTGCTTGTGTAAGTGTATTTTTGTAAGTACTTTTGTAAGTGTATTTTTGTAAGTGCTTTTGTAAGTGTATTTTTGTAAGTGCTTGTGTAAGTGTATTTTTGTAAGTGTATTTTTGTACCTGAATAAAAACTTACCAGTTACCTAACACCCGGGTACCTACTTACTAGGTGGACAGGACAGTGTAAGTGCTTGTGTAAGTGTATTTTTGTAAGTGCTTGTGTAAGTGTATTTTTGTAAGTGCTTGTGTAAGTGTATTTTTGTAAGTGCTTGTGTATGTGTATTTATGTACCTGAATAAAAACTTACCAGTTACCTAACACCCGGGTACCTACTTACTAGTGGACAGGGCAGTGTAAGTGCTTGTGTAAGTGTATTTTTGTAAGTGCTTGTGTAAGTGTATTTTTGTAAGTGCTTGTGTAAGTGTAATTTTTGTAAGTGCTTGTGTAAGTGTATTTCTGTAAGTGCTTGTGTAAGTGTATTTTTGTAAGTGCTTGTGTAAGTGTATTTTTGTAAGTGCTTGTGTAAGTGTATTTTTGGGGGCCTGAAACAGACTAATCTAATTTCATTATTCCTGAAGAGAAGAAATTCATTCGGTAACAGGACTTGAACAGCTGTCTGGAACGAAGAAAGTTTGAAACTCGAGGGTCCACTGTATACAGTGGACCCCCGCCTTACGATATCATTTCATTCCAGAAGTATGTTCAGGTGTCATTACTGAACGAATTTGTTCTCATAAGGAATATTGTGAATTAGATTAGTCCATTTCAGACCCCAAACATACACGTACAAACGCACTTACATAAATACACTTACATAATTGGAGCATTGGGAGCTGATCGTAAAGCGGGGGTCCACTGTATTGTACATTGTAGTATCAGATCATTGTACATGTTAAAATGTACAAGCAATCACTACTCCTCCCTTTCTGTAGCTACATTCATTAGGTTCCTTCTGGTTCTCCTCTTGAACTGGTTCATGCTATGATTGGCATTCTTTTATTGCTGTACAATAAAATGTTTGTGAAGCCTGACCACTGACTGTAGGTACTGCAAAGTTGTTCTGTCTTCTCCTAGTACTACAATAGCTGTGATTTCCAGCCTGGACAAAATTGGCAGTAAGATATTGGGGACACTGGTTGTGAGCAATTTTATAAAAGGTAATTTAGCTTTAGTTGTTTTACTGTCTTCAACGTTCATCATTTCCAGTTGTTGTAATTCATTCAGGCCTACATGTTCTCTTGGACTCAAGTCCAAGATGAATCACATTATTTTGTTCTGGGTGATTTGTACATTTCAGTTTTTTTCTTAAGACAGAGTACCGTGAAGAGCAAGCGTAATTTATATGGCATTGTATAAGAGCTAGACATAGGTTCCTGTGAGCCTCAGTAGGTAGACACTGTGCCTGTCTATAGAGGAGCATTAGTCTGGCATTTGCTTTCTTTACTACATCGTTCGCTATTAGTGTTCCTGACACGCTTGGTTCAAAGGGGATTCCCAGATATTTCACTGAATTTACAGAAATGGTGGGTTCCCCATTACATTGAATATTTTTAATTACCCTTTTTATTTTATGTTTTGTGCCATAGAGTATGGCTTTGGTTTTCCTGAAGTGTAATAATAATTTGTTGTCTATTAACCATTTGCTACAGGACTCTAGTTCTAGTGGTAGTACATTTGCAATGTCTTGTGGGTTTTTACCAGATGCTAACAGAGCACTAACATTTCCTCTGTTCATTAGTTACATTTTCAGGCTTTACAAATGAATTCCATTTTGATTTTTAATTCACATAATGAATTTTTATTCAAACCAAAAAATAGATTTACCTTCATACAATATTGTAATAATTGTACAAATAATATCAGCACATTTGTGAATGTATATTATATCCAACAGCTGGCATGTATTAGACATGTGAGGTCATTTGTTAACTCTTGAACATCGACCAAAATTTAACATTTCCGTTATTTTGAGCTCAGTTTCAAGCCATTTTCAGTACTAAAACCAATCAAAATCATCTCTATTTCTGTAATATATCTTCCATTCTATCAAATGTGACCAAGAAATTGCAAATACAACTATAAGAAAACACATGAAAGAACACTGCAAGTTGCTGTTTTAATTGAAAATTACGGTTTCGTTTTTTTCTCTCATGCACTGTGTGCTGCATGATTTGTTTTATGTGGTGCACACATACCACATAGATGTATTCTCTCATATCTTGGCCCAAATTTACCGTTCACAGCTTATCAGAGTGAGCTGAGCTCATGGCTTAGATCTATGGTTTGGACCCTCAACGTAAAGCTGTAGATCTATGGCACGGACCCTGAACGGGTTAAATATCATGTACATATATTATATAGGTTTGGTAGCTGACATTTAAAGCACTCCTGAGCGATTGATATTATTAATTATTATTATTATTATTACCATTGGCATAGCCGGGTCGCTATATGGAGAAGACCCGGGCCGGAAGTACCGGCGAACCTCTAATGAATGAACCATTGGCATACTTTGTTCACTGAGTTTAATCATTTCTTAGATGCCATGAGAAATGCCAAGAATGTAAACACAGACGAACACACCAGCTAACCCCTTTACAGTGAACCTCTTTTGTATTTCTTCCATTTTCCTCTTGATTTTCCTCTTCCAAATGCTGCTACACTTCTAACTTTATCTTGTACTATGGGGTGCACAATAAGGTACAAATTTGTACAAGTATGTATGCATTCTTGGAAACTGAAAGCATTAGAGAGCCCGTCGTAACTCCGAGTTGCCGGTAAACGAGTATGTCGCTAAGTGAGGAGGGACTGTATATTGTGGTTGACCATGTCAAAGGCCTTTTGCAAGTCTAAGGATACCATGCCTATGAAATTCCCTTGCAACATTTCAGTTCTCAGATAGTCCATCAATTTAATGTGGGAGGAGTCTGTCAAATAAGATCTAAAACCTGACTGGTAACTCTGGGGAATGTTTTTGTCATTAACCCCGAAATGGTCCAAACGTATATGTTCACTCGCGTAGCGCCCCAAATTTCTTGAGAAAAAAAAAAAAATTAATGCGAAAAAAGAGCATATGGTACCCAGGCATCCCCAATTATTTTAATATGGTGCACAGTGAGTGCGCACACGCTTTCTCTCATGTCTAGGTGACTCAGGCTTATCATGGCAGTGTTGAATGAATGACAAAGAAAACGTATATATATGTTTGGGGCGCTACGCACGTGAACGTATATATACGTTTGTACCGTTTAAGGGTTAAGATACTTAACTACATGAAAATATACCACCTTCTCTAGAATTTTGGATATCACACTGAGTATACTAACAGGCCTTTAGTGGCTGACATCAGATCTACTATTTTTCTTGAAGGCAGGAGTAACCCTGGCCTCCTTGAATCCCTCTGGAACAGTATTTGTGGTGACGGACAAATTTATTATGTGAGCAATGGGGAGTGGCAGTTCTCTGGGATGTTATCTGAACTGGTGTACTAGTTGGGTTTAATTTACTTAATTCTTTACGTACAGAGTCGTGGCATACACCTACTGTTGTAGTATGTTTTAAACTTAGCAGTGTCTGTGTTAATGGTATTTGATGCAGCTGGTAGTTTACTTACTAGTGGTGATGTGACAGATGTGTAGTATGAATTTAAAAAATCTGCCACTTAAGTTGTTTTGTGGCATACCTCTTTATTAATATTTAGTACTGTGTTAGATCTATCTACTGGTTTATAGCTGTACCCCAACTGTTTTAGTTGTTGCCAGAGCTTTCTGGGGTTATTCTTATACTCTTCGATTTTTGAGCAATAGTGTCTCGCCTTTGCTCCTTTTATAAGCCTCTGCACTCTGTTCCTCACCCTTTGGAATTCATTTAGCACTGCAATATCTTGTCTGTTTGCCTTGAATATTTTTAGCAACTCTTATTTGTCAGGAATGTTAA